TCTCTATATAATATGCATGTTAAATTTTATATTTGGGGTGAAATATCAAGTCTTTTCAAGTAAACCGGTTCAAGTCCAATTCAAGTCCCAGGTCATTGGTGTAAAAGTCCAAGTCAAGTCACAAGTCTTAGAACATTTTTTCAAGTCAAGTCTAAAGTCATAAAATTAATGACTCGAGTCCAAGTCATGTGACTCGAGTCCACACCTCTGGTTTTAGCAGCTTCAGTGTTGAAATATGACTAAGCTGGCTATCCAGCAGAGATAGACAAAAGGAAACGTGGCAAGTAGTGAGTGTCCCTCAAAGTATCCAAGTAAAAAATGGATGTCGGAAAATGATAACGGGGGTGTCTTACCGCACTAGAGCATCTGGCTTTCCCAGCTGGTTATTGGGGATGCAGTTCTCCACCGGATCCTTCTGCCCCTTCCCTGCTCCCTTCTGCTTCTTCTCATTCTTATTAGCTGAGGAACCTGGCGGCACGCTGCCGTTGGCAGAACTGTGATTCCGAGGTGACGAGTTGCTGCCTCCGCCTCCTCCGCTGGCATTTTTGTAGTTCTTCCCCATCCCCCCAATTTCCTCTTTAGAAGAAGTGTGCGTGTTGGTGTCGGCGTGCGTGTTGTCGCCTGCCAGGTCGTTGTTCAGTCTTTTTGCCCCAACGTAGTTCTCAATATATTCCGTCTCCTGTAGTTTGGAGTCCAGTGCGTGTATAATACTGTTGTTATTGATTCCAACTGTGTTCTGTTTTTTGCCCTCTTTTGCAGAAGTGTCCTTCCCTTTTTCCCGGTACTCCAGCTCAGGTAACGGTACTGAAGTGCTTTTCTTTCCAGGAGGTGCTCCGTTTTGGGACACCACTGTGGGCTCTACCTCTGAGATTCCTTTAGCTAAGGCAGCTGGATGAAAGCAATTGAATACAGCATTAGAACACAAAGAAAAACACAGTAGATGAATTGAAGCAAATACTAATGCAAACTGGATTCATATTTGGTCATAAACAGAGAATGAGTGATGACCTTGGCAATCCCTGATATATACATATATGTGTGTATAAAAAACAGCCTTGTGGCAGCAGCCGAGTTTCCGGTTTTGTATTAACAGAAAAGAGTGATTTCAGACCTAACCTGTTTAGGGGGGGGACCAAATCTGGTGCATTTCCTGTTTTTTTCAGTTTGTCTCAGCAGGTGTACGCGCTGTCAAACGAACTCTAAAAATCTGGGCCGAGCCGCAGAAAAAAAAAAGCTGGGTCTAGTTCTGCATCTCGGTTTGTATGCGGTTTGAAAGCAAAGCAGAGCATCTGAAGCGTAACAGATCATTTCAAAACATAAACTACCAACTTGTGAATTTCTAAGAAAGCGATGACTAGTAGCCACATCAGCATTTTCTGATGAAAACTGAAAGGTTAAGTTAAACAGGTGTGCACTGAGTCATCTAGTTTACATAACACCATGTAGTGAAATGATGCTGTACGTCCCATCCCATGACGAGTTGAGGTCTGCTTGTATCACCTAGACTAGGAATGTGATCAACCAGCTTCAACTATCACATCCGAATGCCAAATCCATGACCCAACTCTGATGTTAAAGCTTGACCAACAGGCCTTTAGAAGGAGTGTGAAACATATATAGGGTTAGCCAAACAGTACTCTCTTCTTATAACTCTTTCATCCCCTTTAACATCAATAACTGCAACTGTTACTGCATTTGTTTATTTCCCACTTCAAGCCCAAAAGGTAACATATCCACAAGCAGGATACCAGCCTTGTTCATATACAGCGATGGCTGATTACGTCTATGTGAGCTTATGAACAGCTCAACATTTGTAGCAGTGTTAAAGTCAGAACATTTGCTTGTTTCTTTATTCTCTTTTTAAAAATTCTTTAGTTTTTTTTTTTCCAAGCTGTTTTTATACAAATTCTTAACACGAACAGTCAGCTTATAACGCCAGAGGTGTCAAACATGTGGTCTGGGGGCCAGAATCAGCCAGAACAAGCGTCCCTCCCCGTCATTGGCATTTAAACTACACCAAAGTAATTAAATAAAACATAAACAATTAAATGATTAAAAAACGTTGCTGTTTTTCCACTATCCACTTTTTGACCACAGTTTCACTGGTCTGATCCAGCCTGCTTAAGATCAAAGTGAGCTGTTTGTGGCCAATGATGTAAAATGACAGTGACTTCACTCTTTCAGCTTACATTGCTTACATGTGAAGTGTTTCTGTCATTTGTAGCTTTAAAGGGAAAAAAGGAAAATAAACTGGGTTCAACGCTCTGTATGGGATCTGTGCTGTACTCGACACCTCACTTTCTAAATTTGGAATTATTCACTGGACAAAACAAGAAGCAGCACGATGACAATCGTCAATGCCATCTTCTGCTAAAGATTGAAATCAGTGTCTGAAGCCTGAACTGACATCCTGTACAAGTATGTGTTATAATCAGCTGCAACTTAATGAGCTGTTCATGACAACCGGACAGTTAATGCTGATGCCTGCCGATGCGTCCAGCTTTGGGAAAATGCTGACTGACGTGCCATTAATCACCACAATGTGACTGGCACGCAATACTTCTGATGGTATATTAGACACTTGTTAGTCCAGATGGCCTCATATCTAGAGGTCTTAGTTCTTAAGTAAAGCTAAGTGCTAGAAGACAACAGTGTGCAGACTTTTTCTAAACTGCATTGGTGAAAGCACGCCTTCAAGTGAAAGCTTCAATAATAATTAGCGATCACATTTTTCATTAGTCCCATGACACAGTGGCAAACTATCTGTGGTTAAACTGTTTGGATAAAGAAAGAAATGAATGGCTATCCATCCTGTCTGAAACCCGAGTTTCTGACTAGCAGGGATTACGTCCATATATACACATTTTATTATTTGAAACACTTATTTAATATGAGAACATACAATAGTACCAGAATATAGATGAAAGAAATGGTTGAAAAATATTACAGAACCCCTTTAATGTGTTTTTGTGACTTACCCTCTTCTGCCTCCCGCTCTTGTCTTTGCAGCATCTGCTGCTCTGGAGGTAACGCCTGCTGTAGGAGCTGCATGTAGAACTCATTCTCCTTTTGCACTTCCTTCTGTTTCCTCAGTCGCATCTTGTAGCTAACGTAGCTCTTAAAGCCGAAGCCTAGAGTCACCACTGGATAGCCGATACTGGGAGGTAGGGGGGAAACAATCGGTGCTTTGTACAATTATTAGAAAAATTAAGGAAGTCATGATTTTATTTCTTACTACTGAACATTGAAAATTGTTGCAAAAATCACAAACTGATGTTCACCAGTGAGCAGCAAAGGGTCGACACAGGTCTACGTGAAAGTTCTTCAGATCTTTGAATCGTATGGCAGCTTCGATGTACACAAACAGGATCCACAGCGATACAGTGGGTAGACAGACTCCTCTCTCTGCATGAAAGGAGGAGACGCGGGGAAAAAAACATCAAGTTAGCAGAGAAGAAACTTGGCAGCTTTGAATTTCTTACGCACTGAGTATTTGAGGTGAAAGTGGCCATTTGGCTGCCAGAAGGGAAAAACAAAGCAAGAAAAAAAACCCAACTTGGACTAACCTGTGTGCCAGACATACTGGACCCATACGTAGGTGCTGGCAGCAAAAAACAGCCATTGGACGGGGATGAAGAGGAGGCATATGATGTCTGATGTAAACGCAACACACACAAAGAAGACGGAGAATGCCTAAAAATGCGTGGGAGAGAAAAGGATGGAGATATTAGATGTTTCATCTTCCAACGTGCATTTATACTGAGTGGAAGGAGCGGTGTGTTCAGGGTCATTACAACTAAGCTCTTACCAGCCCCTGATATCTGAAGGAGTCGTAGACACTTCGAATGAAAAGCCAAAAGGGCCACAGATACTCAAAGCGGAACTCGAGCACAAAGTCAGCCAGCAGGACCAACACCCACACTACCAGGAACTTCAGGTACAGGAACGTGCTGTGGAGAAGAGACAGAGGAAAAGACAGGGGAAAAAGGAAGGTGAATGGACAGATGAATAAAGGAGATAAAGCAGAGCCACTAAAGATGGCTTATTGTGGATTTAGATACAGTTTAATGACAGTCATGTGGGACTCAGGTTTATGCAACAGTCTAATATGTTTATAGGAACCACGTTTTCAGTGCGACCTGCAGTGCTAGCTCTAGGATTGAAGGCAAAAGTAGGAATAATCCTGCCTCCTGCTGAAAAACTGGTATGTGCATTTGTTACTTCTGGGCTCGACTTCGGTAGTTTGTTATCCGGTTGTCCTAAAAGCTCCCTGAACCATCCTTATCCCTTAGGTATACTGCTATAAGCTCCTGGGGCTGAATGCTTCTCCTCTGCACTCCGTGTTTTATACCAAACTATTGCATGGCACAGACATTCGTCTCTCTCTCTCCCACAGTGTCCCCAGCCAATTTTGGGGGTTAGTGTTCCTAATGGCTGCCCCTTCCTGAGCCTGGCTCTGTCAAAGGTCTCTTTGTCTTAAGAGGGAGTTCTTCCTCCCCATCATCACCAAGTGCTTGCTCATTATCTGAGGATCACCTGGTCCCTGGGGTGTCTAACATTGTAGCAAGGCTGACCAGGCTTCTCAGTTTATGATGGGGCTGCACAGCATTTTGTGTGAACAGAACAGAAGCTCAAATAACACTAAACTGCATTTTTGAGTGAGCGTGTGACTTTCAGGTCTACTTCAGAAGACCACAAAAACTTAAAGCATAAAGCTTCCGTTTATGCTTATATTAATTTAATTGATGAAAGAGGTGGGAAAGTTGTACATAAATGGAGCTTATTTGTCTTTCACACTATAAAAGCTAAAAATATTTAATTTCAGAGAAAAAATTAACATAATAATACCACTAAAAAACAGTGAAGCACAGATCGCGGACGCATACAGTTATTCCCATCAATAAAAGATCAGATCAATGTTCAAACCATCCAAACACCTTTGGGGGCAAAACAGTATGTACAGAGTTTCATGTCTGGACATGCTAGCTTGCTGCACAGCTGTTCTGGCCTGCCATCTATCAGTCTATAGGAAAGGCCATGCTATTTTGAAATTGCGAGCCGTGGTTGAATCGTGTGTGGCTTTTCCGGTCCGGGGACTCGTTTTGTTTGCTGCTAACGGTTTCCACTGACGTGTTTAAATTTAGCCCCCGGTGTATGGCAGACAAAGCACAGGTGAGAACCCGTTCCACTTCAAAACGAGCGCCTCTGACATTGCTGCTGTCATCTCGAGCACGAGCAGGATTTTCCCCCCCACGACTTCACGGTTTTGTTTAGTTTTTGTTTGGGATTTTTTTGTCAAGCGGATTGACCGCTGAACGCAATTTGCATTATTCTTTTACATTTAACCTGAATTTGAATTTAACTGCCTAGCCGTGTAAACGATGCCACACTAGGCCTATAATTATGACAATAAGCGGGCATGTTCATTCAGCTCGAGAACAAAGCGTCAATACGCTTCAATATGAACATGAGCAGAGACTGGCCGCCTTGTCTTGACATATGCAACGAGGCGCCATTGTTATACAATAACGTCCCCCTGGCCCCCTTTTTGTACCTGCTATATATACCCTCGGTGATTCGGTTCCGTTTTAACGGCCGTCGGAGTTTGCTGCAGTCCGCATTGCGCCGCTTCATCATCCCCCTGTTGATTCACTTGTGATATCGGCCTGGTAACTATGACTGGACACGTCATTCGCTCATCCTAATATTCACACTTCTTCAATTATCCACCATTGTTGTTGTTTTATGCACATGAAACAAAGAAATAAATAAAAACAGTCCGCGGAAGGCCCTCCCCTTTTCACGACACGGCGGCGTTGACTCGCTGACGTCTGACGTCACGCCGCTGTCGGAGGCGTCCGAAACATGGCCGCTCCCAGCTAGCCCAAGCGATTTGCTCAGTTTTCGCTCTTAATTGTCCTTTTTGAACGGTAAGTGTCGCGGTAAAACTTTGCAGCGATGCTCTTTTGGATTTGTTGCCAGGTTTAATCGTGTTTTAAGTAGAGCGAGCTATTTATTGCTATTCTTTTGTGGTGAAACGCGTCCATGCGTGTTCAACCACGTTTGTTTTGGAAGGGTCCGCCGGGTATTTAAGCACATTTCTTTGGATTTCTCGGAAGAACGGTAGTAAGAAAAGTTGTTTCCAATCTCTGTTTAGATAAAAGCTCCATAAAAGAGATAATTTCGGTAAAGCAGTATGCGGTGTATTTAATTTAATGTTATTTATTTCTGGTGTGGGGTGGACTTCAGAAACAAACTCCTTCTTTGGGGGACGTCATGCCACTCTGCCACAGAGGAAAGTTGTTTTGATGTATGAGCTAAAATCTTACTGTACTTTCAGTGGTTACTTGGACATAAAAACTGCATCTGAGCCACGATTGCGGGGCGATCGTGGCTGGGAGTTAATCGGAATCGGAAGGTTGCACAACGACCGAGACTGTTCGAGCCCCGGCTCGGACAGTCTCGGTCGTTGTGTCCTTGGGCAAGACACTTCACCTACCGCCTACTGGTGTTGGCCAGAAGGGCCGATGGCAGCCTCGCTTCTGTCAGTCTGCCCCAGGGCAGCTGTGGCTACAACTGTAGCTGCCGTCAATGTGTGTGTGAATGGGTGGATGACTGGGTGTGTAAAGCGCTTTGGGGTCCCTAGGGGGGACTAGTAAAAGCGCTATACAAATACAGGCCATTTACCATCTATCTAATCTGATAAATCAACTTAAAGTGTGTCACCATTGCCCCAAAATAATTTTTTTAACCCCACCCTTCACCTCCTAAAGTCAGGATTCTTTGAGTGGCATGCCTCTCCTTTAAAGCCACTTATAGGTGAAATGTGTAAAATCCCACCCCTAGCCATCAGTAGATTGTAACTAAGGTGGTCGCTGTAGGACAAACAACTGTGACCAACGCTCACCTGTAGTGAGTGTAAGCTGCCAGTCTGCTATTTACCTCAGTTAGTATCCTAAAAACTTTGTGAAAGGAGTCTGATACGAGTCAGTGAGGCTAACGTCTGACTGATGATGGCGATACAGAGGTGAACTGTTGAGGATATTTTGAACCTTTTGGTCAATAAGCACTGCTGTGTATGCTGCTGTTAGCAGACATTAGCATTAGTGGTTTCAACATTGCTGCACTTACTGAATAAATTCTTATATAAGTGAAGATGTCATCAAGCTGTTTATCAGAGAGAAAGTGTGATTCCTATGACACTCAAGCCTAACGTTAGCTGGTGTAACATTAGGTCATAACCAGCTGTTCTTGTTGTTTAGCTGACCTGTTGTCAGCTGTGAGTAAAATATGGGGGGGTCAATAACTGATCAATAACTAATTGCAACAATAACTGGAGTAAATGAACATGTTTGTGCATATTTTCATGTTGTAGCGCCCTGACTTTGTTTAGAGGGTTGAGGTGAGATGGAAGAGGATGACATTTTATCCATATGGTGGTGGCGTTGTCTCTTTCCTTCATTTTCGATTCTTTGGTGAAGGCGACTCCTTCTCACATGATAAAACATATGAGTGATGTTTCATATCATCTGAAGGTGCAGACACTAATTTAAAAGACAAGAGTTTAGCTCAGCCACTGTATTCAACATGACAAGACAACATGGTGACTTCCACAAATAGGCAGCCGGTCCTTTGTGGGTTTAATACATTAATTCTAAGTTTATGAGAATGCATCTGTTTGTTGGAGGATGTAATAATCTAATTGATGTATATTTATGATTACAACATTTTTTTCTATATTAAATAACCTCAAATATCAATGAACTGCACTTTGAATTTTTTATGACGGTTCGCATTCTGGTTACTTAATATGGGGGTAAAAAAAGATCATTTCGCCCTCACGTGACTTTTTTCTTTTGCACCATTGCTAGTGCTGCACTTCTTGCTCTTATTGCAGTATATGGATTTATTTTTCAACAGATGATGCTGCACAAAATGGAGAAAATGGTGCCGTCCGCTGAGGACGAAGAGAAGGAGATGGAGGGAGAGACAGATGAAGATGAGGAAGAAGAAACAGAAGAGGAAGAAGAAAGAAGTGAGAGGGAAGAAGATGAGGAAAAAAAGGAGCAGGAAAAGAATCCCTTACCTGATCATGATGAGGAGAAAAAGGAGGCAGATGTGCTGAACCTCAACAACGAGGTGGTGAAGATGAGGAAGGAGGTGAAGAGGGTCAGGGCATTGATCATAAGGAAGCTGACACGTCAGATTGGCGTGCTGAAGAAGAAGAAGGGGAACGAGACCGAGATGGAGAGGAATCAGAGGAGAGCCGCCAGACTTCTGGAAGAGATTCACGACATGAAGAACCTCGTACCCGATCAGGTGGGCTTGTTGTCCTATCAGCAAATCATTTCTGCAACGACTTCCAAGCCATTTCATTCTTTATCTTTTCATTTTGAAATATTTTTTTCAACTTATCTACAGGTGACCAAGACCGCCTTACAGAAGAATCTCAGCTTTGAGCAGGTTTGCAAGAACCCCAAGTCTACCATATCTGACCGGGCCATCGCTCGCATCGCCACCCACCCTCAATTCAGCAGGAAGATTGAGAACATCAAAGCAGCTGTAAAAGCCTTCAAAGAGGAGCGGACGAAGAGCAGGAAGCGAGGAGGAAAGGAAAAAGTGCAAACTCAAGGGAAGGCAGTGGAAGGAAAGGTGACTCTGCAGTTACAAGAGAAAAAGGAGGGAAAAGAGGAGCTTAGGGAAAACAGTGAGGAGGAACGGCTTAAAGAGAGTGAAGATGGAGCTGTTGCCGAAGTCGGAGAAGAAACGGAGAAAGGTGGAACTTCTGATGATCACGCACAAAAAAAGACAGAGCCTAAGAGTGTTAGAGCAGCACCAGGAAAAACTAGTGACATAAAGGAGATTGTGAAAAATAAACCTCCAGTTAAAAAAGAGAAACCCATTATCCAGGCTGAGCCAGCTGAGGAAGAGAGCGATTTAGAGTCATTCGGTGATGAAGAGAAAGAGTACTTTGATGACAGCACGGAGGAACGGTTCCACAAGCAGTCATCGCAGTCGGAGGAGAGCGATGATGATGACGGCTTCTTTGTAGGAAAAGTGAGCAAATTCAAGAAGAAAAAGAAAAAGCCAAAAGACGAAAGTATGGAGAAGATGGCGGCGGATAAGAGAGCTGAGGCAGGAAAGGACTCTGCTGAGAACGTGTCTTTGGACAAGCTCGAGAATCAACTCAATGAGCTTGAATCTAGGCTGAAATCAAAAGCGACCAAGCTGGAGTCTCTCTTCTGTCCTTCTCTGGCTGGGACCAAGGCAGCTGGGGGTAGAGGTGCTGGCAGAGGGAAAGGTGGAGATAAATTTAGGAAACACAATAAAGATTTCAATAAACAGCCCAAGTTCCAGAAGCCGGAGAAAAGTTCAGGGTCTAAGTACAGCAAGCCCTACCCCGATGGCAAACACCCCGAGTCTGAGGATAAGGGCTTTGCTACCGCTAGCAGAGGAAGGAGACAAGGCAGAGGCGATGTTCTGAGACAAAAAGATCACAGGGGAGGAGGTGTCTTCTCACATCGGGCACCACAGCAGGCACTGCATCCATCCTGGGAGGCCAGTAAGAGAAGGAAGGAGCAGCAAGGACAAATCCTGGCCTTCCAGGGGAAGAAGATCAAGTTTGGTGATGATGATGACTGAAAGTTGTTGGCTGTTTGTGTAAAGTTTAAAGTTCAGGGATGATGTGTTGGAAGGTTTAAACTCTAAGATGCAACCTGTTCTGTGATAGCTTTGTCAGTGCGCAGCAGTTTAAGCAGTGCATTCATTCTATGGCTGCACTATGGTAACGGGACAAATTTGAATGTAGGACACTGGGAAGCTGTTTTTTGTGTATTTGAACGTGTGCACATTTCAGGTTTTCTGTCCTTTTAATTCCAGCGATGGTTTTGTGATTATGTTATCCACTTTTTTTAAGTCCTTCATTATTAGACATGTTTGAATAATACAGTTGTAATCTTGACAGAAGCATATTGTGCCATTTTTTTGCTGTAAAGTTTTTATCTACAATATTGTGTAAATGTCTTGAGCCACCACTCATTTCAGTACATTTTCCTTCCAAAGAGACAGACTTGTAGGTTTTTTTTTTAATGTAGTTCTGACCGGTAGTTTATTTTTGTACATTGGCTTCTTCTTCACCCATTTTCAGTCCAGTCCTTGTACCTGACCGCTTTATAGAGGAATGTATTTTCTCTCTCGCTCTTTTGTTAAGCTGCTTAACACTGATTTATGACTCATTCAAGCATAAAAAAGACACCTAACTCAGTGTTCTGCCTACACAACTGACATCTGAGTAAAGAACCAATTTTAAATTGTACCTTTATGCAATTTGTTATTTGCAGCCTGTCATAAAAATATATCATTTATTCCCATTCCCTTCATCAAACCTACAAAAATTGCCAAAGGTAACATTTTTATATAGCTCCAAATCACAACAACAGTCGCCTGGAGGTGCTTTATATTGTAAGGTAGACCATACAAAAATACATACAATAATAATACATGAATAAAGTATAATTGTTGGTATTTTTGCACCAACGAGGTGATTCTCAAAGCGCTATTAGCGAAAAACCTGGCATATCTCAGCGAGTATGGAGTTGTAAATCAAATTGTCATCAGTGTGTAGAGAGGAGGAGGCATAGTATTTTTATGGCGACAATAGTCCCAACCACACTTCCAATGAAGTAAAAGCAAACCTGGATCAAAAAAAACCCCTCACATGCCAATGTGGGTGGCCACCGGACCAGCTACGGGGCTGCAGCTGGAGGCGCGGGCGGCCCCAGGAACCACCTCGTCACCGGCGCCGCTGGATGCGCGGGCGACCGCCAGAGTGGACACTTCCCCGTCCGGGCCGATTCCCTCGCCTGCTCAGCGGACTGGGGCAGGCACGTTCAGAGGGGGGGGCTAGAGGGGCTTGAGCACCCGCCCCTTTCCTGATGGGTGCCCAAAGTGCCCTTTTGTTGAGGCAACTTTTAAAATTTTTTTTTTTTTTTTTTTAATGTGTGTGTGCGTGCGGAGTCCTGTCTGTGCCCCTCAACAATAATATTTAACTATTAATCACAGTTTTGCTAAATAAAAGGATCTGGCTTGCATCAGTCACATGATCACATTTAACCAATGATCGCCCTTGACGGCAGAACGCGCTGGTTACGAGCCGGGAACGAGCTCACAAAGAGCACGCGCATTTTTTGCGGTCCGGAGCTGTAGGAGAAACACAAGTTAACTCAGAGACACAGACTGATGCGACAAAACCAGTAAGTAGGTGTACAGCGACACTGTAGTGTGTAGCACACAGGAGTATTAGCTTATTACGTACACGTTGGTAAGCTGTCTTGTTGCAACTGACGAACTGAAACAAACGAGCGTGCTGTGTGTGCAACAGCGCGACAAACATTACCTGTCCTTTTATTAACTGCACAAGTAGTGCTGGTCATAGCTGCTGGCTACCTGTGTAAGGCTGTCATGGGTCTGTAGCTCTGTCACCGTTTTAGGGAACATATTTAGTTTTAAAGTATTTAGAACATATTTAGTTTTAAAGTAAGTTTCCGGGCTTTTCCTGCCTTTCTGGAGGGATTATATTTCACTAAAAAACGATCTAATATGCATGTCCACATAATAATTATTATAATTATAATATATTAAAAAACACGCTGTATTTTAAAGAACATACATTAAGAAGCAGATTATATTAGATTTATATTTTAAATAAGACAAAATTTGGATTTTACAGCAGTAAAATATTGTATCTCTACAGTTTAAAAATGTAATAAGCTTTGCCCTGCACAGAGTGGATAGTGAAACAAATGGAATCATCATAATGACATTATTTCATATTTATTACTTCCCCCTCCTCATTGCTTTATTATTGTAGCTCTAGTAATAAATAATAATGTAAGGATTCTGGATCAGCACAGTGATGCCCATAGTATATACAGTATTCTGAAGAAGGTCTAAAATGTCACTGTGTGTGCGTGCATGTGTGTGTTTTATGTATATGGATTTTTTTAAATTATTACTCATGATATAACATTGTCCAGACATGGCTGGTAAGGACATGAGGAGGAAACAGCAGGAGCTGTGTGAGGCTACTAAAGGCAGTGCTATAACATTTTTCTGTCATCATTTTATTATAGATTAAGTGCTGGAGTTGTTAGGTGTGGATAATTAGATTATAGTTTATTGCAATAGCAAGTTGTGCCTTGTTCTCAGATAGACAGCAAGTGGAGAGTGATATATGAAATGATGGGATGGAAGGAAGAAGAGAAGCAAAGAGTGATTCACAGGCAGAGCCTAAATTATTTCTCACAGTTTTTTGTTGCCTTATGGTTCCAAGCGCTGTCACCAATCTTTGCATTTTGTTATTATCTCATGACACTTGTTTAATCAGCTACCATCTCTCCTGATGGACTTTTTAATGTCTACAGTCTCAGATCAACACAGCCCTGCCCTTCCCATATTAGATTCTTGATGAATGTGTGTTGTTGTTATTCAACCTGGTTCAATGTGCCCCTTTTTAACTTTGAGCACCCGCCCCTTTAAACCTCTCTGCACGGCCCTGGACTGGGGAGTAGGTTCGGCCGGATGGCCCCCCGGCCTCAGGCGGGCGATGGGGACGCCGCTGCATGTTGGACTGTAGATGGACTCATCTACAGTCATGCCTCGCCAGATTAAAAATGTACTCTTCTTGTGTTGTTGGTGATGTGTACAGCTGGCAGCGGGAGAGCTGCAGCTGTTGAATGTACTGTTACAGCAGCCGTGTGATTATTGTGAGAATAAAAGATGCTGCGAAGCATGAAAATGCAGCCGTGGTGGTTTGGTTATCAAGGGGTTTTTTAGGTTTTTTTTTAAAAAGATTTTTCTTTTAAAAAGGCAGGAGAACCAGTAAACGAGTTAAAACAAGTACTGTTGAGAAACTATAATATAACTGGTGAAAATGTGTAAACAACTTAACCAAAGCGCCTAAGTCGTGTCATGTGACAGCACAACGCCTAAACACAAGAGGGGGGAGGGGAAGCAAAGTGCGCCTGCTCTGCGCTGACACAGGAGCGAGTCCGGCGACCTTTTCCGAAACCACAGCACTACAAACAAGAGCAAAACTTAAAGTAAAGAATCGATCTCACCAGGCTAGTATCGATCCGATGCCGACTTGGTATCGATACAGTCGATATTTGGATCGATCCGCCCACCACTAGCGTGCATAGCCGGTATCCTGTCTCGTGAAAATCTGGTTTAATACCAGGAAAATTGTTTCCATCTTGAATTTAAAACATTTTAAAACCCCGTCAGGATGCTCAGTAGAAATCATGATTAAGGGTGACTGTTTCTGCTTGACGGTAGAAGAAAAGCTGGTTTCTTGTTCTCGGAGAGCCTAACAGGAGTGTACAGAGGCTGTGTGGACCCTAATAGGTCGGGGCCCTTTGTGTGGGAATCGCTGTGAAAGTGGAGTTCTTGGAGGCAGGCAGCACCAAACCCCAGAGACCAGAGGAAAGTGAAGCTCGAAAAGGCCCGAAGGCTTATATTTGTAACGGCCGTTTATAATTCAGAAACGAAGTGCGGTTTGACAGCTGATGTGGGCATGTCTATATAACGGAGACTAGTTTACGCAAGCGGTGAGACTTAAATACTTGGTGGTTTATCAGTTAAGGTTATTATCGGTCAATCGCGTGCTGGTTAGCCAGGAAGTACCTTTTCAGAATAAAGGCTTGTCCGAAAAAGTATTTCGTTTTAAAGTTGCATAGGTGTCCTTGCTGTATAAAAATCAGAGTATAACGTCTAAAATGATCAACAGTAGTAAAAAATAACTGTAGATGCTAAGATTTGGTGTAAAATGTAATGTTTTTTGTTTAGTTTCTGCTGTTTTTATTATTATTTATTTATTTTTCTAATTTTCTTCAAACTGGTTAAAAAACACGACACAATACAGAATTTAAACAGTTTGCATTAATAGTTAATATAAGATTCACTAGCTGTAATGGACCACGTCATACTTTAGGTTTAAAGCCATTTTCATAACGATGTCATGTTTTAATATGCGAGTATGATTTTATTTAGAAGGGTGGACTGTGACCTTTTGCGTATATCCGGTAGATCTACGCTTGTTTTACCTTCGCGCATGGTCGGGGACTTGTGTAAATGTCGGACTTCGGGTGCCGTGTAATCTGACTGCACACTTCAGCCGTCGAGTTTGTGTGAGGAAACATTGGTAAGGAGCCCGGTAGCGGGGTGCTGTTTATCATTGCTGCAAAACAACTGTCGCATGCTCAGCATGGGAGGGGGAAGGGGAGTGTTACTACTGTTAGCTTACACACACACACACACTGATGAGGGAAGCTAGCTTCTGCCCCAGTTGCGAAGTAATAAGTGATAGCTTGAAATAACTAAAGCAATTAGTCCGTGAAGGCAACACTGGTTTACTAGTTTATGCAGAGACGTGCTCACATCTTACAATTACATGGTTCTCAAATAAAGGCAGTGGGCTAGTGACAAGTTTATATTACTGCAAAAATTGCAGCCCTGTGACAAATTAGGGGAAAACACATCCCAAGTTGCATGATATTGCAATATCAAGCAGTAACTTCTAACAAGTTGTCTTAAATATTTTCAGGCAAAGGAATAAAGCTGGAGCTGGAAGACGGTGACCCGCCCCAGACCTCCAGGATGGAGGCAGTGCTGCCAGAGGTCCATCTAACAAACACAGGAGAAACCAGTAAGGCTGTGTGATGTAATAACTTGTGCTCTGGATTATCAGATGGAAAAACATGCCCATTCCAAGGACGAAATGGATAAAACCTCTCGGACGCAGCTTTACAGTTTACAGGAGAGCATAGTTAATGGGTGATATTTTGTTCCAATGGCGTGTGTAGCAAAAACTTAAATTAATAAGTTAATGGTGTCAAATGCTTTGATATGCTTCTCCTTCAAAAAATGGACTAACTGGGCCACACTGCTTAATCACTCAGTTGAGGTGTTGATTTAATCCCACAGTCACAGGTGTATAAAATCCAGCACTCAGTCATGCAGTCTGCCTTTGCAAACATTTGTGAAAGACTGGGTTATTCTCAAGAGCTTAGTACTATAATAGGACTGCACTGTTGCAGAAAGTCTGTTCATGAACTTGGTCCTCTCCTAAATATTCCAAGATCAGCTGTAAGTGGTTTTTATTGCAAGCAGAAGTATTTAGTAACTCAGCCTTGAAGTGTCAGAGCATGCACTCTTGCAGAGCAGGATGACAGAGTGCTAAAGTACACAATGTGAAAAAGTCATTGCCAAGCTAGGCTGACTAAGTAACTGCAGAGTTTCAAAGGTCCTCTGGCATTA